TATATATATATATATATATATATATATATATATATATATATATATTAATAAAGTAATGGAATTATTGTAACCCGATGTTTTTATTTCTAGAAACGTTATTATAGTCGAAAGTACTTTTTGTTAAATAGACGCCCTATTTATATTTTTATAGTGTGTATTGAGTATGTATCACTTATCACTAGCAGATAAACGTAATATACTCCGTTTAATAAATAGAATGGAACGTCTATTTCGAATACGAAGTGTCCACTATAATAACGCTTGAAGAAATAAATATATAAGTTTAACAATATATATAAGTTTACACTAATTTAATGTCTATTGTGACTTAAGGTATTCTAAAAACTTAAGTGGTACTCATATAACCGATCTATTGCTTTGAATGTCTATTGTATGGCCTCGTAACCTGATCGCGAGGCCCCTCCAAGGAACGGTACAAGAAGAAAGGAAAACGGAAAAAGACGGTTAAACAATATCGTCGAATGAAAAAATACAATATTGACCATAAGCTGCTTGAAACAATCAAACATCTACAGCAACAAACTAACAGGGCGATTCTTGTCCATTGAAGAGTCGGGGACTGGTTTCACATATCAGTCGGCGCGCGGCATGGATGCCTATTTTTCCCTAGACTTTCTAAGATCTTGATGGAAAGAATAATGTCAGATACCATTGAAAACCATATCGGCACACTCAGCATTGGAGGGAAAACTACTACGTACCTCAGGTTTACTGAAAACGTTGACGATCTGGCTGGAAGACGCGCCGGCTAAACTGGTGAGGTGACTGAACGAAACAGTACCCAGATATAGAAATCAACTCCGAAAATCAAAGCCAGTGTGAAATAACGAAGAACCCATCGAGACACCAGTTACAGTCAGTGGTCAGCAACTAGAGACAGGGAAACAATTCAAATATCTTGGTGCAATCATCATGGATCCAAACCAGGTGTCAAAAAGAGAATTGTGTTGACAACAGTCGTAAAGACACGGATGAACCGATCTCAAATGCTCTCGCCTTTATGGTTTTCCTGTAAGCATGCTAGTCACGGACTATAACAGCAAGATACCAAAGGCGGATCTCAGCTGTAGAGCGTCCTGGGTATGACGATAAACTACACCCACCTACTGGGTAAGACGATAAACTACGTCCAGCAGCAAGGCCTCTGATCAGGAGGTTTTGAGGAGTGTGGAACTACTTCTTAATTGCTGGTGTTCCCAGATCCACTCGGACCTGGGGTGGTAGCATCTATTGGAGTCCCAACCATGTGCAAAAAGTTAATCCCCAAACTGGAGTCGGGACACTATGAAACTGTAAAAATAAGTTCTAATACCAGCAATAATTGCCTGAAGAAAAATTATTATCAGCAATTTGGAAAAAAATATATTAGAAGCAATACACTTTTCTTTTAAATATTACCAGCAATAAAAAAAAAAACCTTGTCGACATTAAATAAGCCATTGAGGTTGATATGCAGTAAAACAAACCAAACCAAACCAAACTAAGCTGTAGAGATGAGAGACTTCAGGCGTCTGTTTGGTATTTCCTACCCCGTCCGCGACATAAAAGAAGAGTGAATCATTAGATAGATGGCTATAAAGATGAAGTGGTATGGTCACCTAACCTGATCTTGAGGGCTCTCCAAGACAATCCTACAAGGTGAAAAGAGAAAGATACACCAACGAAAGTGATGATTGGGCCGGGAGACATTTTGCCTAGACGCAGGAACTGGCCAATGAGCAGATCAAGTGGTGCGGGGGGGTCTTTTCTTACCGGTTTCACCCCATAGAAGGCAGAAAAGCCACTAAGACACAAGGGGTTACTGAACGTGAAAGAATTAAGAACAGAAACATTAATAATTAAGTTGGAAGAGAAAAGAGTAATCAGGAGAACAGCAGGTAGCGATTGGCATTGCATTTTGTTGAGCAAGCCATTATGGAACGCCTCTACATCCCTGGCGTGTTATGAGACAAGAAAATACATCAAATTATATTCTATTCGTGCCAACTAACAATAAAGAATGAACGGTTCGGACTATAGATTATTCATTTCTTTCTACAACAGTATCAAGCAAATTTCGATTTTTTTTTTATGAATTCATATGACATACAGGTTTATTTTCTTTAATTTTATTTTACCAATTTTCTCCAAAGGTTGTAAAATTGTTGAGATTGCAGCCTTTAATTTTAGATTCATTTCTCGACTACGTTGACGAAGATCCTGTACTACTAACGTCTTTAATTGATTATTTGTAATTATAACAGGATGCATTGTTTCACTTCACCTTTTAAACTCATATCGCTATTTCCCGATCCCCAGAACCCAACGAAGTACCGTACGTGCTGAAGTAGTACCATAAAGCGATGCTTGATTAATTTTACAAGCGGTCTGAGAGACATTGTGACTACATTTAAATTCAAGCAAGGAAATACTGTTCATCTCTTCTCTATTCTTATGAAGTCCGGAACCATTAAACTTGCAACGTATTATCTGCGAAAAAAATGTAAATTTATAGAGCAATAGTCTCGCAAAATACACATGCATTCCAGATAAAAGTTGCATATAAAGAAGCATATTTTGTAATTGTATTTTCAGTTTGGTTATACAATTTTGTTTCAATGTCCCTAGTTGCTGACCAGTGACTTTAAGTGGTGTATCTATGGATTCCTCATTATTTCTCTTCGGCTTTGAACTCTCGGTGTTGATTTCTATGTCATATCTGGGTACTGTTTCACCCAGTCACCTACCCAGGTTAAGCCGGTTCGTCTTCCAGCCAGGCTATCGATGTCACCAGTAAACCTGAGGTTCATAGTAGTTTCCCCTCCAATGCTGAGTGTGCCGATATTTTTTTTTTTAGCATTACGCCCCGAGCAAGGCGTGAAGCCACTAGAATGCAGGGGGTTGCAGAAGATTTGGAGCGAGAGCAGATATGAGTGATAGAAGAAAGGATGAGGAGAAGGATAGTGGGTAGATCAAGGTAACTGGAGGTGTCGATTGACATTACATTTGAATAGTTGGAGATTATAGCTCTCAGGGAAACAGTAATTGGGAAGGGTGTTCCACAGGTGAGAGGTGCGAGGTATGAAGCTATTGGAGTAGAAGAGACGGCTACAATTAAAAATTTCCTGGCGCGGCACAGAGAGCCAACTTTCCTCGCGGTGGAAGAAGCAATTGACTCAATGTATTTGTTCCATCTCAGGTCAGCAGTCAACGTGAGACCGAGCAGATATGGTTTTCAATGGTTTCTGACATTATTATTTCCAAGATCTTGTAGGGAAATTAGACACACGCTGACTGATGTGCGGAACCAGACCCCTCCTCAGACAATAATCGCACTGCTGGCCTGCTGCTATAGGTGTTTGATTGTTTCACTTAGCTGATAGTATTTACTATCTATTTTACGCTCAATTAATCTTAATAAAGTAAAATGTATATGATATTTAACGACCACGTTAGTAATTATATCTCGCATACAGAAATGTTAGATAAATTTAACAAAAGCTATTGCAGTTTACGAAAGGTTCTTGAAACTGTGTAGCAGAAATGATAACTCCTACTTTAAAAAATGCCAAAGTAAATCATTAAATAAACTGCTTTCTTGAGTAAAGAATTTTTATTTCAAACTCCATGACTCCCTCATTAAAAACTCGGTTCTCACTATGAGAGTCAATTGTTAACGAAATATGTAGCTAAATGTGTATTCAATGAATGTGAAAAATATATATATTCAAATATAGTTATATATAGTGAACGTCGACTCTCAAAAGAACGACCTCGAAACGTAATTTAGAACGGCTGAAAAGTTTGAGAAGTTCCAGCCCAGATAAATTGCATAATGCCAGAATAAAAGGTAATAGCGCAATTCGACCGCTGGGATAAAATTCTAACTACAATGCCTCAACTAAAGACTTGCACAATAGTATCGTGGTGTGATTAGAATTCTAGCTAAAATTATGTAGTTCGACTATAAGTAACCGAATCCCAATTATCCATATTGACGTTGGTAAGTCCACATTTACATTAATCTATGTCGTAAACATTGTGCTGTCTGTGACTGCGGCCCTATCTTGTCGTGTATCTGTACCCTGCGGCAGTCAATGATTTGATCTTCGATTGAAGGAATATTCACTTAACTAATGTTCCCAGCATCAACATACCAATGTGACTCTGCGAAATGACTATTCAACCTCTTACAGATCTTTACAAACGGTTTTAATTGAACAAAAGTTGTGGGTGTGCGTTGCTACGACATTAAACCTACTTGACCTGGATTTTTTCACCATACCGAATCTTATTGGAACTTGAATTACCGTTTAAAGCTACACCCTGTGCACTTAACTGAGTACTAATACGTCACAAAATGGCCGAAAACTTTGTAGACATAATCAGGTTATCTACTCCCAACACTTATACACATATGTACCCAGGTCAAAATTGGCATCGTTCTTAAGGGCGTTGCAATTTTAATTCCACTCAGTCTGTGGATGTATTAAATCACTGCAAAAGTTTGTGTCCGATTAGAAAATTACAAACAAAAGTTTTCATACAAAAAAAGAACATTTATTAGTCAAGTATGTAGCTAGGGTGAAGTAATGGATAATGGCTCGGATTGAAGAATCAGAGGGCAGGGTTCGAATTCCATTTGAACCCATTACATTCACTTACATGCTAATACCCTTGGGAAAGGTATGAATCCTCTTCCTCTTCCCCTCAGCTGTGGGTAAATAGCAGGACAGACCGGGTTTTATAGCCTTAGATAGCAATTGGTCTACCGCAGAAAGAAATGCCAACCTACAGCGGAAAAAATCTGCCTCGTCAGTCATGTATCGAAAGATACATGATCGGTTAAGCGTGTATCACGCATGGCACATAATTGATGTAGCCTTCATTGCATTACAACAGTCTTCTATCATTCTATAACCTTTTTGACGCGATTTTCATAGAAACTTCGTGATTTTTTGTTGGGAGAAGGTTGTGAGTTAGTATTCGACTAACTGTACAGTGTTAATTTGTTTGTCATTTAGATATTTCTGTAGAAACACTTTAAGAGTCTTCAAGGCCTGTTTTGCAACATGCGGTCTTGCATTGTCGCGGCGGAAAATGGCGTTTTTTCGATTTACCGAAATGATCCGCTTTTCATGAAAACAAGTATATTCAAATGACGAAAGACATTTGAGATATCGATGTTCATATTCTTACCACTCGTTTCTGTCGAAATGTTTGGTTTATTGTCCACGATGGCAAGCAGAGCGTCTTCATCGACGTCGGAAAGTCGCCTGGAGCGTTGTTGATCGTTTAGGCTAAAATCACCCAGACGGAATCTGCCAAACGACTTTTTGACTGTCCAAAGAGCTGGAACACGATCAAAATAAATATTGTGGATGTTTTTTTCGCAGTTCTGGGTTTTTACTCCTTTCCGAAATTAATAGAGTATAATATGCTATCTTTTTGGTATACATTTGTGGACAAAACATTAACATTCAACATAATCTGACTCGCAACTAAACGAGGCAAAGTCTCAATCTAGAATACGCCAGATATCTACAGCAGAACAAGCACCAGCGTCAAGTTGCTGAAATTTAAACCAACTACACTCTGCTGTTCCTAGATATCATATTACATAGAAATAATAACGAACTCGATTTTGACGTTTACAGAAAGGCTACAAACAAAAAAATGATCTGATCAGTTTCTACTCAAACCACTCTTGTAAGATTAAATCTGGAATTATTATAGGTTTCGATCTGAGAGCATTAAGAATCTACAAAATTCCAATATTTACTTAAAGAAGAAATATACATAGAAAACACATTCAAAAACCTACAATACCCATATCATTTCATTCACAACGCAAGAAGAAAGGCATACATGAAAACAGATGCATAATACTACCGACCAACTCTGTCAGGTCCACTATCGAGAATAACCTATCCCATCTAAATAATCTTAAAATAATCACAAACACTTCCCAAACCATTATGGATATAATCAGATCCTCAAACACTAATAGCAATAATATTCCTTAAGCAGGCATTTATAAAATAAATTACCAAAACTGTTCCTCCCAATATATTGGAGAAACAAGTAGAAATTAAAAAAAAAAAAAAACGCATTTATGAGTACAAAAGAGACCTGACAAAAAACAACTTAACTAATGCACTAGTCATACAGAGAAATAAATTCAGCCACAATTTTGATTTTAAAAACGCTACACTGATAAAAAACAGAAAATAACTCACACACAAAGAAAATCGTTGAGAGTACCGCCATTGAATATGTTGTAAAGTAGTTTTCCCAGTGGAGGCTTATATTTTACTGAGTCGGTCCTAAATTAGGTTCGACGTACAAAACGTTAGGAACTTGCAATAATAGTTAATGACGCAGCAATCTAGTTGTGGGGCTCATACTTTAATGTTCGACATCGACTGACTCATATAACTCACTGATCTTCACTCGCGACTGCTACTACTACTACTTATCTGTGGGAGAGTCTATTTACAATAGAAATAGGTACATTCCGGTATAACAGAATATTATCCAAATATTAATCTACGCCCAGGCTTTTTCTCTATACCACCTTTCCTAACAGAATTACTACTCTCCCAAACAAATGTACACAAATGTATCAAGAAATCAAAAGAAAACGGTTGAATCAGTCAACACAACGGTAAAAACAATATTTCCACATGTAACAGTACTTGACATAATAT